CAAAACAAAACTAAGAAAAAAAGGAAAGGAAAGTTCTGTCAATGTGGGTAGAGCAGTAGTGCATAGAGCATGCTTACCTTGCACGTGGTCTGGATTTCCACCAGGAGTGATCCCTGAGTGCAGACAGGAGAAAGACTTGGGCATCACTGGACATGGCCTAAAAATCAAAAAAGAAAGGAAGGAGGGAGGGAGGAAAGAATGGAAGGAGGGAGGGGAAGAAAGGAAGGAGGGAGAGAAGGAAGGGAGAGAGGGAGGGAGGGAGGGAGAGAGGGAGGGAGGGAGGGAGGGAGGGTGGAAGGAAGGAAGGAAGGAAGGAAGGAAGGAAGGAAGGAAGGAAGGAAAGAAGGATTTGATTGAGAAGGTTAGAGTTTGATCCCTAGCACTCCAGACACTGTTGGGCAGCCACCAAGCACAGAGCTGAGAGTAGTCCTTGAATCTTGTGGAAGTGTGGCCACCCTTTCGTCCAAATAAAATAAATAGGTGATTTAATACATGTGAATCCACACAGGTTAGCTGGTGTGTGGTATAAATGTGCGGTTTTGAGTGCATGGTTTACATTCGCATGTAGCCATTAACTAAAGATGTTCTGGAGTTCCTGTGTCAGTTCAGGGGACAGTTAAGAGAATAACTTTTCTACCTCTGGAACTCAGAGCTTTCTTTCAGCTTCATTTCTCCTTGTTTCTTCTCACTTTGGAGAGCTCCCTGTACTTGGCTCCTCTGAACCCGAGGGGCCCAGCCAATAAAGAACAGTAACTGACTCACCAGCCAGGAGCTTCAGAAAGAGGTTAATAATCTTGTGTAACAGCCAAGATCTGGCTTCACTGCTAGTCCTTGCCCTTCACTTCACTAGAGGAAATATTCCTGACTTGAAATCAGAAGATTTGGGGCTCTATTCTTGGCAGTACCTCTCATCATTGTGTGACCTTGACCAAACTATAACATCTCCCTGTGTTTCAGTTTCCTCCTTCCTACTCTGGGCAATAAGGAATGAGCTGGCAGGATACACAAGAGCCTGTCATACTTAGGGCGGGCCATGTGGCGCTGATGTCTGAAGGGGAAGGAAAACTTTCTTAGCTGAGGCAGTGGGATGATCAAAAGTTTGGAAGGACGTCTGAGCTTTGTGCATGTAAGGGTTTCCAGGAGGAACTCATTTAGATAAACTTATCATTTTCCTTATGACCCTAAATGATCTGGCTGTTTTCCTCTTATTTTTTTACTGTCTTTGTTCACTATGTTTCGGTCACACTGGCTTTTTTTTTTCCTGTTCTATAAATAGGTCAAGTTCTTTGCTGCTTTAATGCCTTTCCAAAGTTTGATGTCTCTACCTAGAATATTCTTACCAAGAATTCATATAGTTGCCTAATTCTCATTACTTGAGTCTTAGTACACCTCCACAGGGAAAGACCTTCCGTAGTCATCTTATTTCAAGTAGTTGTCCTCTAACGTTTATCAATATTTAAAATGTGCAAATCCTTTGACCCTATGATTTAATCCTACAGATGTGTTTTCTAGTGAGTAAAATTATACCTGAGTAAGAGTATTTATTAGAGAATTTATTAAATTATAGCACATACAAATAGTAGAATATCATGCAGATGACAAAGAAGGTGAAATAGCACTGTAAGTTGTGATAGAGAATATATAAAAGTATAATAAATTAGAAAAACAAGTTGATTGAGTTCCATATTTAAGATTATACAGTAATTGAATGTATTTTATACTTAATAAAAGCAAGATGCAATATAGCATGTATCTTTTTAAAATATGCCATTATTTATATAGAAAAATGAGAATATCTTGAAATCTATGCATATGTATATGCTTGTCTAACAGATCTGTCCCATGATCAAAGCAGCCCTTTCCCACTCAGCCCACTCACCCCAGTGTTTGACTGGGGACTATGAGGTGCTTAGCTCTCTTCAGAACAGCATTAAAATTTTTTTAAATTTAAATTTCCATTTTCAGCGATGTTTCAAGGACCTTTTGAAGGATTCTGACTGTGTAACCTTCTCACAAAGTGATTATCATTCTCACTCCACTCTAGTTCAGTTTCCCCATACTATACCTTCTCTCCTACTAGAAGAAGCCTTTATCTTCATGTTGACTATTGTTGGAAAGTTTCACAATACACTAGTAACAGTGGCTGCCAGTAGGCAGACTGGAAGATAAGTGTGGGAAAGTCATTTCATTGCCTATCCTCTATAGAGTACTATTGGATTATATTGCTTAAGATTACAAAATTTAAAATGGATACCAAAGGGAATATTATTATAGTAGTCAGCATACAGTCAAGAAAGTGTTTTAAGATGTCTTTTGAAAGATGGATTTCTTGGGGCTGGAGGCATAGTGCAGCAGGTAGAGTGTTTGCCTTGCACGTGACTAACCTGGATTCCATCCCTAGCACCACATATGGTCCCCTGAGTCCTGTCAGGAGTGATCCCTGAGAGCAGGGCCAGGAGTAAGCCCTGATCACTGCTGGATGTGAACAAAAATTATATTTCTCCTTATTATTATATCTTCTAATGATGGCTATAACTTGACATTAATTTGGTTGTATTTGTTACTTGTATATTTTTTTGCTTTATTGTTGGAATATAAGTTCCTTGATGTCAAGAATCTTTCTCTCTTGGTTATCTGTGCCCTATGTATATATGCATAATTGGTGAATAAAAAAATGGGAGCATTGAGAAGGATGAGAATAAAAAAAATGAACAAATAAGAAATGACTGAAAAAAACCCCTGCTGAATCTTAGGAAGGAGTGTGAGACAAGGATGAGAAAGTCAATGCCTATTATCTGAGAGAGGGCAATGATTCTTGAACTCACTCAACATCATTTACTGATGATTCTTGATAGTAGCTTCTCGTAAGAAAATGGATTTTAATTTTTTTTTAAAAGATGCTGCATAGAAAAGCGAATGGACTATGTGTTAAACCGAGCCAGCATGCCTGCCTGGAGGGGAAAGGGTGTTGCTCCATTCGCCCTGGCCTCTCTGGAAAGAAAGATGGCGGCCGCACGGGAGCCTTGTGGACAGCAGGTTTGAGCCGGGGGTGGGGGCGGCAGGGACCTCATGGGAAGGGGGGCGTTCCGGTCCATCCTTCACGCCCTACCGAGGTCACCAGTTGCCCCCACGAGCGGCTCTCCCGCACGGCCACAGCCCCAGAAGCACAAGGACTTAGCGCAGAAAACCAAACGCTTGGAGCAGAAAAGCGAATGGACTATGTGTTAAACCAAGCCAGCATGCCTGCCTGGAGGGGAAAGGGTGTTGCTCCATTCGCCCTGGCCTCTCTGGAAAGAAAGATGGCGGCCGCACGGGAGCCTTGTGGACAGCAGGTTTGAGCCGGGGGTGGGGGCAGCAGGGACCTCATGGGAAGGGGGGCGTTCCGGTCTGTCCTTCACGCCCTACCGAGGTCACCAGTTGCCCCCACGAGCGGCTCTCCCGCACGGCCACGAATCCAGAGCACAGAAACCAATCTCTTAACTATCTACCTTTTAATAGAAATACTTCCAGGGTTAATAAGTAAAATAGCAGAAATCCAAAACCGCACGGCCACTATTGCGGCTGCGCGACCTCATTTAATTCTTAAACCCAGCTGTAGAAAGCAAATCATTTCACAATGCTTTTTCAGCATGTCTGACTTGGGGGGGGTCGTAAACTCTAATAATGGTGCATCTTTTTTTGAAACAATAAATCTAGTCAAAGTAGATAGAGTGTTAACTAGAACTCATCTGCCTCACAGGAATTGGGAGGGGTGGGAGGTGGGGTTCTATTGGGGTTCGCGGGTAAAAATAAGTATTGGTAAAGGGAAATGTGTTTGATATTTACATGACTGAAACCTAAACCTGAAAGCTCTGTAACTTTTCCCACAGTGATTCAATAAATAAATAAATTATATAAAAAAAAGATGCTGCATAAAAAAGAAACAGATTTTAGATTCTGTGATTCTGATGTAGTAGGTCTCAGCTGTAGTCCAGGGATCTACCTTTATTTTCCTTTAACTTTTATTAAGACACCATGCTTTGCAAAGCTGTTCATAATAGAGTTGTTTCAGTCATACAATGTCCAACACCAGACTTACCACCAGTGTTTCTTTCCTCCATCAATATCCCTGAACATCACTGGATATGGCCCAATAAACAAAACAGAGCAAAAACAACTCAATTTGTGATGATTGATTGCTATGTTTTTTGTTGTTTTTGTTGTTGTTGTTTGTGTTTTGCTTTTTGGGTCACACCCAGCGATGCACAGGGGTTACTCCTGATTCATGCACTCAGGAATTACTCCTGACCGTGCTCGGGGGACCATATGGGATGCTGGGAATGGAATTTGGGTTGGGCCGCATGCAAGGCAAACGCCCTACCCGCTGTGCTATCACTCCAGTCCCTGATTGCTATGTTTTTAACCTTTCTTAATCTAGTAGAGGGCAGCCAGACTCACTATTAGTGAATGTCATACTCAGTGCCACCTGGTAGGAAGTTTCTCCTATCTTTTAATGCTTCTTGCAAAAATGTTTTCAAAGTTATGAATTTCTTGTGCTGTTGCTTGTCTGTGAAGCTCTATCTGTATCAAGGAACCTATTTTAGTAAATTTCCTAGGTCACTTGGGAATTGACTCACTTTGAATAACACCAATGAAGCCTTGACACTATCCTTAGGAGCAATCACATTTGTGGTATTTCACCTTAATACATCCCTGAGATGGAGAATAAGAGACTTCCACCCCACATTATCAGCCTAATTGAGACTCAGAGATGGACAGTACATTTCCAATGACACATAGCTCATGTGTACAACTTGGGTATAAAGTGTAATTTAAAGGCCACAGTGTCTATTTATTTATCTATTAATTTATCACAGTATTAAGCTCAGGGTGTGATGGCAGATAATCACCCTCCCGGGACATTACCAGGCCTTGGTGAATAAATTTTGTAACTGTTCCTATTTTTTGTTTAGGGAAGAGATTATACAGTCTAATCACTGCTTCTTTCTGATGTTTTACAGGGAGGGCAATGAACCAGAGGAGGCCTCCCAGATCACATACCAAGAGCTTCTGGTCCAAGTATGTAAGTTCAGCAATGTTCTTCGAAAACAGGGTGAGTAAGGGGGTATGGGAAGGGGACTAGAGTGTTTGACCTTGGGGTATATGAGGACTGGGAGAAAAGTAGACATGGAATGAAAAAAAAAATCTGGTAACAGAACAGAAAAAGTCAGATAGGGTTGGGGATACATCTGATGGAAGGTAGCAGGTAGCAGCAAGAAGGGCCCATGGTCTGTATTCTTCTTATTTTGGGAGAGGGCACACCCAGCAGCAGTGCTCAGAGATTAGTCCTGGCAGGGGCTCTGGGGACTGTATATGGGGTTGTGGACCAAAACACAGAATGCAAGGCAAGCGCCTTTCCCACTGTACTATCTCTCTTGCCCTCATGGACTGTTTTCTTTACTTGCAGGTATTCGGAAGGGTGACCGAGTAGCCATTTACATGCCCATGATCACAGAGCTTGTGGTGGCCATGCTGGCATGTGCCCGCCTTGGAGCTTTGCACTCCATTGTGGTAGGAATTTGGGTTGGAAAAAAATGGTGCCTGGAGAGTGGGGGGCTCTAGAGAAGTAGGATGGGACTAGATGATGGAGGATCTTAGAAATAAACTAAGGAGTTTAGGAGGCTGGAGAAATAGTAGAGTTGGTAGGGTACTTGCTTTGTATGCAGCTGATCAGGTTTGATCCCTGGTATTCCATATGGTTCCTTGTGCACTGCCAAGAGTAATTCCTTAGTGAAGAGCTATGAGTCACTCCTGAGCATTTTCTGGGGTGGTCTACAAGCAAAAAAGAAATGGACTAAGGAGTTTAGAATGTTTATGTTATAGGTTCATTTCAGTTATCCAATTTCTTCTAGGATCATGTCTTAAGTTCCCCAGGGTTTCCTATTTATTGGAACATTTCTTTGTTCATTCAATCCACTGGTGTTCCCCTTCTCTCTTAGTTTTTCTTCTTTTCCTTAGTTTGCAGGTTTCTCTGCAGAGTCTCTATGTGAACGGATCCTGGATTCCAGTTGTAGCCTTCTCATCACTGCAGGTGACTAATTGTCCTATGCCTTCTTCAGAACTCCCACACTATGGCTGTTCTCTAATCAGTTAGCTGGTACTTGGGACTGCTCAGAATTGAAGGTGTACCGCCTACCCTTTACCTTTCAGTTTCACCTCATCAAACCCTCTGTCAGCTCAGATCAGCTGGAAAATCTAGAGTTAAAAAGGTCATGAGTAATAGCTCAATGAACATCATATTCACTAGGGCTAAAAGACTAGGAGTTGATGCCTTTCTAAGACCTGGAATATCTTTTGCTCCCCAAAGATGCCTTCTACAGAGGTGAAAAGCTTGTGAACCTGAAGGACCTGGTTGATGAGGCCCTGGAGAAGTGTCAGGAAAAGTAAGTATATTTGGTCAGTTGACTACTTCTCTGGGTTGACTAGACCTTTCTCAGTGCCAGGTTATCTTTGTCACCCCTAAACTATGTGGGCAGGGGTGGATCCTGCCAAATTTTCTTGAGTCAACCAACACAGTCATGATTTTCTTTCCTTCAGGGATTTCCCGGTAAGATGCTGCATTGTGGTCAAGCACCTTGGGCGTGCTGAACTGGGCACAGGAAACTCTCCCAGCCAGGCCCCACCAATTAAGAGATCATGCCCAGAAGTGCAGGTATGTCACTGCTGTGCTCTGATTTTCAGTGCTTAGATTAGCTCCTTTTTTCTGCCTTGGAAGTTCCTAATGTCCTTCTTGTTTCCTTATCATAATGTGAGGAATTTGAGAGCAATCTTGGAAATGTCTCCTCTTGCAGGCTTTCTGGAGCTGGGGGACTTTGACCTTGAATATAGGTATAAGCTTCCTTGTACCTTGGGAACTTAATGCGAGAGACAAAAAGCAGAAGGGAGACTGTGCTGTCTGTGGTATCCTGAGGGACATTAAGAACTCACAGGCTTAACTTAGAAATGGGCTAACTTCAGTGACTGAAGTCATCTTAATTACTGGCCTGTGGTTGAGTGGTCTACCTGTGGTCTCACCAGGGAAGGGGAAGAGTCTGGTCCTTTTTCTAAGGCTCATTAGCTTTGGATTCAGTGTACCTGATAGAAATGGTGGAAGGTCCAGTGGTGGCCGCTAAGTCTGGGGAACATGAAGGCTCTAGGCTCCCGAAGGACAAAACTCCTGAGATTGCTTAACTTGAGAGACCTTGAGAGGCCTAGAGAGGTTGTAGCCTAATCTAGAGAGATTGGAGATGCCAATCACCATATGGATTTTGAGTACAGGAACTGGGACGGGGGAAATGAGTGTTGGCAGGGCCAGTGAGAGGGAACCCTGAGTAAAAGGAGGCAGTGAGAGTTGTGGGGCTCATCTTGTCTCCTAATACCCTATACTCCAATCTTACTCATCCCATCCTCCCTTTCCATGGGATCTCAACAGGGCAAATTGAAAGAGAAACCCAAGGGCATCCAACCCCAGGTATCCACCTCTGCATTGCCTTGGGCACTGCTTCCGGTCTGCTTCCCACCTGCTTATCTGTGTGTCCATCTGTGCTTTGTCAATTTGGCCACTCCTGGAGTGCTGGGTATGGGTGGCCACATACTAGGCAGATGTCTAGTGCAGATCTCCTGTGCTTTTTCCAGCCCCTATGGGTTTGTTTGTTTGTTTTAAGTTTCACAATTAGTAACTCTGAACTGAGAGAGCATGGATCTCAGAAAGGTAGTAAAAGACAGCTCATTTTCCTTCTGCTGCTCAGGATCTTGTGGGAGAGGGAACCAATGAAGTGCAGATTTTGCTGTACCTTGCTGGGCAAAGTCAGGAGATATAGGAGGAGCAGAGAGAGAATTTCAGTATCAGTTTTGTGAAATAGATGTATATTATATAAATGAAATTAGATGTATGTTATAAATGACAGTCTCAGTTTTATTATAGGACAGAAGAAAAGCAGGTTCCTAAATATGTTTATATGCAACTTGGGTTTTACAAACTACTGATAAACCCTGATATAAACCCTGATATATTTAGTGCCAAATTGAACAACAGTCACGTTGTAGGTGATTCTGACAATGGAAATTCCTAAGTGGGAACTCAAGGCAGATTTGCATAAAGAGGAGAGTCCAAAGATCAGTTTTTAGCTGTGTGATCTGGAATTTGTCACCTTTCCTATATTGACTCTAGCTTCCTTAACTGTAGCAGAGAAATGATAATAAATTCTTAAAAGGAAAGCAAGGGCTGGCTTACCGTATACAAGGCTGACCCCAGTTTTGCATATAGATATATGTATACATATGTGTTTATATGCATATACTTTTATGCTTCCTTAAGCACTTCCCAGCATGATCTCTGAGAACAGAATCAGGAGTAAATTCAGGTAATAGCCTGGGTGTGGCCCAAAAAATGAAAAGTAAAACTTAAAAAAAAATCTTAAAAGAATTTAAAAGATAAATAAAATAATAGGAAACCACATCCCTCACTGAAACATAAAGTCTTCTCTTATTCTGAGCATTACCATACTTGTAGAGTCTAATTCAAAATATGCTATGATTACCTCTTAGGCTAATGGCAAATAAAAATCCCCTTTTCCTCTATTCTTATTACCATGACAAAAAAAAATAAAAAACATTTTTAAAAAAGTTGATTTCCAGGGGACAACTGGTTTTCCTTTAAAAACTCAGGACAGGGGACCCTGGACATAGTTCAAAGAACTGCAGCATTTACTTCATATCCTGGAGCCCTGGTTCAGTCCCCAGCATGTCCACAACTGACCCCAACCACAGAATCAGGAGCAGCCCCTGAACACCACCAGGTGTAGCCCAAACAAACAAATAAACAAACAAACAAAACACTCATATAATGACCAAAGCTTCTTCTTTTTGCAGAGATGACAAACTTAGTGGTTAGAATATGGATGCTGGAGCCAGGCTTCCTGGCTTCAAACCCTGACTGCATCATCTGCTACTTTGTGTACAAGGGCAAGTTACTTAGGCTCTCTTGTCTCATTTTCCCTAAGTGTAATAAGCCTGATAGAGTGATTCCTGAGCACAGAGCCAGGAGCTGTGCTGAGCCCTGAGCACCACTGGGTGCGGTCCAAAACATAACAACAACAAAAAGGATGGTGTCTCTAGAGGAACAATCTTTATTTATAATCCTTAATACCAGAGACCCTCAAGCTACAGGTTCCAGGATTCTTATTTCTTGGAGGTGAAACAATCAGTCATCAAAGAACTAGAGGTCATGAAAATAGGGTTACAAAGCCCAGGCTTGTTGGTCTGAAATTGCAGCCAAAGCTGCAGAAATCTTGGCCAAGTTCCAATCTCATCATCCTTAAGCAATCTTCCAGGAAGGGCTGGAACCACTTGCAGGTGCCCTCCTCAATCAAATTACCTTTGAGCTTCCTCATGTTCCTCTGTCACACTTGGCAACTGCCCTTACCGAGGCTCTCCTGGTCCAAGGATGAGATCTTCCTCCTCAATTCTTATTTTAGAAAATTCAAACCTTTTTTCTGGTTCAAAGCTCTAGTCCCAGGGGTGGCAGGGAGGTAGCTCAAATGGCTAGTGCTCATGCTTTGTATGCAGGCCCTGGTTCAGTCTCCTGCATTGCATGGTGTCCACACCCCCCAGAAACGACCCCAGAGCCCCTGAGCACTGCCAAGTGTGACCCCAAAATCCAAGTCCAAACCCAACCAAAGCTCTGGGATTCTTGTAGGCACACACTTCATCCACAGACAGTGTTGGTGCCACTAACTGAACTCAGCTTGCTTTTTGATGCTATCAGCTCTACACCTGGAGTCCCGCTCCTTCACTTCCTCCACGCACAGAGGAAATAGTTTTACATTACAGAATAACCTTAGTTAGATCTGCTTTGCCTATCTGCCTAATATATGTGCTAGTGCCTTTTCTATGGCAGTTCACAGCAGTACCATAGACCAACATAATTTTCTCAAGGCAATACCCACAGGATTCTGCTTAAAAATATTAATGTCAGTACCTGAAGAGGATCACTTGCTGGTGCTGGGGAGTATTCCTGAGACATTGTATGTGTAGACCTGCATAGCAATTCCACTTAAAACAAAGTTTTTTTTTTTTTAATGGTTTTTAGAGTCTCTCTCTGTTTTTCTTTTTAATGGTGCTTCAGTTCACTTGGACTCGTCATTCTTATTATGCTTATATGCCAGAATTCTCTAACATGAGGAAGATAAAACTGTTTAGAAAGCTGGCCGGGGAGATAATACAGTGTGGTGGGGTACTTACCTTTCATACAACTGAGCCAGGTTCGATCCCCAGCACCCCATATGGTCCCCAACCCTCACCAGGAGAGATTCCTGAGCACAGAACCAGGAGTAAGCCCTGACTACTGCTGGGAATGGCCACCCCCAACCAGAAAAAAAAAATATGTAAAAAGAAGAGAGTGACTGGAGGTCATTTTATAATTTATTAAGGTATGTATCTAATCATTTGTTTGTTATGAGCAAATATGCACACAATAAATGACCATATAGTTATGTAATTGGAGTAGGATATTTCTCTTAACATCATACTGTCTATATGCATCTAGGGCCATTGAACATCGAAGAAGTTAATAAATATAAAAGAACATTGTGACAACTAAAGCAAAGCCCAAACATTTGCTATCATTATGCCTTAAAATCATCTCCTGGGATAATTTAGTAATCTATCCTCTTGACATTTGTCAGATCCCCCCCCAAGAATAATACAAGATTTGATATTAATTGGTTAATATCTTTCTTTGTTGATGTTCCCCAAATCCTGTAACGCCATTAGAGCATGAACAATTACTCTTTTTTTTTTTTTTAATGTGGGAGCCATAGATTAAGCTGATTGAATTGGGCATGAAATGCACATTACTTTTTTTTTTTTTTTTGGCTTTTTGGGTCACACCCGGCAATGCACAGGTGTTACTCCTGGCTCTCTACTCAGGAATTACCCCTGGCGGTGCTCAGGGGGCCATATGGGATCCTGGGAATCGAACCCGGGTTGGCTGCTTGCAAGGCAAACACCCTACCCACTGTGCTATTTCTCCAGTTCCAAAATACACATTACTTTAAAAAAATTTTTTTAACTGAGTATTTGTGAGATACACCGTTACAAAGCTGTTCATAATTGGGTTTCAGTCATACGATGATTCAGCATCCATCCCTCCACCAGTGTACATTTCCCACCAACAATGTCCCCTGTTTGTCTTCCATCATCCTCCCAACCCCCCCCAGCCTCCCTCAACAGGAGGCACTTTCCTTCTCTCTCTCTCTCTCTCTCTCTCTCTCTCTCTCTCTCTCTCTCTCTCTCTCCTTTTCCTTTTGTGCATTATAGTTTGCAATATAGGTGCTAAGAGGTCATGGTGTTTGTTCAGGGCATTCGGTATTTTTATTGGGACAGTAATGCTGGAGTAGCTTTTCAACTGGGTGGCAGCTTTGGGGTGTGGATGTGACTGCCGGGGCTTTGGGAAGTATAAGGAGGTGGAGGAAAGTATCCCATCCTGACCCGGAGAAAGCCTGGAGATTTCAGTGACAAAACTCGCATACCTGAATCTTCAGCAGATTATATCTTGGTGAGGTCCATCTTGAGATGGTGGAGTCAGGCTGGGGATATTGTGGTGATTTTGGATTGTGGAAGCAAGTGGCTGCTGGAGGCTCTACTTGGATGGGCACTAGGCTGACCCACCCCCTCTGATTTACACTGGTCTGTTTGGTCATGCGCAGGTCTAAGATTAATTGTGGCTTTTGATCTCTTTTGAGATTTATTTATGGGTCTCTGAAGCAAAGCCAGTAGTAGAGCTTATATAGTGGCACTGGAGTTGGTTTATGGGAATGACTGCCAGTACTTCCAGGAGTATTGGGAAGTGGTGAGGAGATAGCCCATCCCAACTCTGTGAAAGCCTGGAGATTTCAGTCACAAAACCTGCATACCTGAATTTTCAGCAGATTGTATCTTGGTGAGGTCTGTCCTGAGATGGTGGAGTCAGGCCAGGGGTATGGTGGCGATTTTGGATTGTAGAAGCAAGTGGCTGCTGGTGGCTCTGCTTGGATGGGCACTAGGCTGACCCACCCCCTCAGATTTACCCTGCTCTGTTCAATCTTGTGTAGCCACAAGATTAATTGTGGTTCTGATCTCTTTTGAGATTATTTATGAGTGTCTGAAATAAGGTCAATACTTGAGCTTGTATAGCTGAGCCGGAGGTGATTTGTGGGCATGGCTCCCACATACCTAACTTTTGGCTGTTTAATTTCTTGGTAAACCTGGTCCCAAGTTGTTGGGGTCCGGCCAAAGGCACAGTGGCAATTTTGGGGTATCAGGAAGCCTGAAGGCACCATCAGGCTGCTGATGCACCCATCCTGCAAGTACAAGTTGACCTGCTGGCGGCACAATACCTCCAACAATTACTCTTTTAATAACAAATGAATTGAGGTAAAATGACTTGTCCAAAGTCATATATAGCTGATAAATGGCAAACTTGATTCAAATACTGGGAATCCAACCTTATGCATCAAGCAATAGACTCATGTTCATAAAAGTGATGTAATAGAAAGAGTAAAACCATTTCAATAAATATTTCAAGAAATTAGGGGCTGGAGCGATAGTACATTGTTTTTGCCTTGCACACGGCCAACCCAGTTCCGATCCCTGGTACTTCTTACAGTTCTCCAAGCACTACTAGAAGTAATTCCTGAGTGCAGAGCCAGGAGTAACCCCTGAGCATTGCTGGGAGTGATCTAAAAACAAAACAAAACAAAAAACAAACAAAAAATTTTGTTTTTAATTTCAGGGTGACTGATAAAAAAGTAGTTATTAGAGTCACTCTAGGATAGTGGGACATCCCTCTACTGAGAGAAGTCCAGCCTTGTCCTTCTTTTAATTAATTAATTTGGTTTGGGGGCCACACGTGGCAGTGCTCAGGGCTTACTTCTCTGGCTTTGTGCTCAGAAATCACTTCTGGTGGTGTTCAGGGTTCATATGTGTTGCTGGTGATCAAACGTGGGTGGCCACGTACAAACCAAAAGACCTACCCCCTGTTTCAGCTCTTCTTTTAAAATGTGTGTTTTTAAAAATACCATGATTGGGGCTGGAGAGATAGCACAGCGGCTAGGGCGTTTGCCTTGCATGCGGCCAACCCGGGTTCGATTCCCAGCGTCCCATATGGTCCCCTGAGCACCGCCAGGAGTAACTCCTGAGTGCAGAGCCAGGAGTAACCCCTGTGCATCGCCGGGTGTGACCCAAAAAGCAAAATAAAATAAAATAAATAAAAATACCATGATTTATAAAGTTGCTGACTGTTTTTGGTTCTTCTTTAAACTTAAAGCAAAGCTTTCTGATCAATGGAGTCTCAAGCTAATATCTTAGGAAACCTCGGTTGGAGCCAGTGTTGTAAAGACAGAAACAGAGCTAGGGTGGGAACTTCCACTATGCATGAGATGTGGATACACAGTAAAAGGTGATTAAGGGACTGGAGTGATAGTACAACAGGTAAGGTGCTTGCCTTGCATTCAGCAAACTCAGGTTTGGTCCCCAGCATCCCATATGATCCCCCTGAGCACCACCAAAAGTGATTCTTGAGTGCAGAGCCAGGAATAACTCCTGAGCATTGCCAGGTGTGCCCCCTGGGCACAAAATTACAACAAGAAAAAGAAGAAAGAAAGAAAGAAAGAAAGAAAGAAAGAAAGAAAGAAAGAAAGAGAGAGAGAAGGGAAAAAGATGCTTGAACCAATACTGTTTTTCTGTTTGTTTGTTTGTTAGTTGTTTCACTAATAAGTCATAGGAACAGGCTCACCTATAGGTTCCTGATTTTACACTTCTGAATGGTGTGGTGTCTGCATTCCTGCCAATGAGCCACTTGTCCCATAATGTGCTTATATAGGTCTGTGTGTGCATATCCATTCATCCAGTGAAACTTTGCTGAGTGAATTTTTGAGTGCCAAGCATTTTGTTAGGTCTTGGGAACAGGGGGGTGGGGTGGATGGGGGAAAGACAGGTATATCTTTGCCCTCATAAAAGTTATTGACTAATTAGGGAAACAGTTATTGCATAAACAACTAAAAAAAGCTGGAAAGCTGTGGGAAAAAATACAGTGTTGTATAATACTATTACATAAGAAATAGTAGGGCTAATAGTAGGTGTGGGAATCTACCAGGTACTATTCAGGGAAAGTCTTTCCTAATAGGTAGCACTGTAGCACTGCACTGTCCTAGCACTGTCGTCCCGTTGTTCATTGATTTGCTCGAGAAGGCACCAGTAACGGCTCCATTGTGAGACTTGTTACTGTTTTTGGCATTTTGAATACACCACGGGGAGCTTGCCAGGCTCTGCCCTGCGAGCGGGATACTCACAGTAGTTTGCCGGGCTCTCCAAGAGGGACAGAGGAATCCAACCCGGGTTGGCCGCATGCAAGGCAAATGCCCTACCTGCTGTGCTGTCACTCCAGCCCTTCCTAATAGGTAACTTATTTTATTTTATTGAGTTAACATAGCTTACAATAATTTTCATATTATTGTTTTATATTTGTACTGCTACTTCACTACTCCACTATCAGGGTGTCACTAACCCTCTTCCACTGTGTCAGTTTCTTTGTTTCCCTGACTTTTGCAGCCTTAGTTCACTATTCTCTATTTTTATATGACCACAATTTAAGCTAATAATGGAAGGAGGAGAAGGGAACAAGCTCATCATTTCACAATATATAAAAATATATAATCATTACATTGAGACATAATAAAAAGAAAGTACTATAATAATATTATATATCCAGTATATTTTAGAAAGGTTGGGGGGACCAACAAGGGGCTCTCCTCATGTTAAAGCTGGGTAAAGCAGCTCCGAATAGAGATGGGGGAAGATGACAGTGCTGGGAGTATCCAGGAGGTCTGCTATTTTATTTGTTCACTCTGTCCCTGTTTTACCCTCGTAGGGCCCTTTCTTCATCGCAGAACCCTGCCTACAAATTCCATTCCTCCAGGTGCCTAGTAAGGCAGGGACAGAGCTGCTCCCATCTTGAACTATTCATAGATCTTCACTGCCTCTTCTGTCTTCTTCCCTCTGCAGATATCCTGGAACAAGGGGGTTGACCTGTGGTGGCATGAACTCATGAAAGAGGCAGGGAGTGAGTGTGAGCCAGAGTGGTGTGATGCAGAGGACCCACTCTTCATCCTGTATACCAGTGGCTCCACAGGAAAACCCAAGGCAAGTGTGTGTGTGTGTGTATGTGTGTGTGTGTGTGTGTGTGTGTGTGATGCTTTATGTGTATGGAATGAGCAGTTTCTTAGGAAGCATGTAATAATACGAATTTATAATCTTGTGCTTCAGAAATGTGACTTTTTCTTTTCTAAATCAAAGAGATAAACTCTCAGTCACTGGGTGGTAAAAACTAGTAAGAGGTAATTTACATGGAGGCTTTCATGGTGCAAAGAAAAGGTGGAAAAGTGTATGTGGATAATACCGATGGCCCATTCTTGTGCCCATATTGAAGAGAGCTGCCTTCTTAACTCAAGGCTAAGGATGAACACAGAGATCCCTCTTCGGCTCCAGGACCAACCATATATGCCACACTATTAACACAAGCACCTCCCAGGCACCTGTGGGAGTCAGAATAAGAAAATGAACTCATCCACTGACTTAAAAGATATCACTATCTTCCACTCACTACATCACTACTACATTCTTCTCTTGACAAGATTATCTCTCAAAGGGCTTTCAAACACAATTTTGGCCTCGTCCACATGAATAGGATATTGAATGAGTGAGTGAAGCAAATTTTCTCTTTTCTCCCATACTGACTTTGTCAACATGTAATTATGTATGACATATGCACAACATACACACTATTAGATGTGACTGTACTAGAAGTGTTCATGTGTGTGAATGATGTGTGTATTTCACTTGTAAATACCATCTTAGGGTATGGCTATGAATGATGCACTGGCTATATATGTGTGGAGTTAAGCAGGAAGATGGGGAGAAGGGAACGAAGAGAATGGATGCTTGGATGCTGTGCGAAGGGAACTGGCAGGGCCAGAATCCCAAGAAGTTTTCCTGTAGCTCTGCTCAGACTGACAGGATGAGCACAGGCCCTAACATGATGCCGTGTTTCCTCCCCTAGGGTGTGGTACACACAGTTGGAGGCTACATGCTCTATGTGGCCACGACCTTCAAGTATGTGTTTGACTTCCATGCAGAGGATGTTTTCTGGTGCACAGCAGATATCGGATGGATCACTGGCCATTCTTACGTCACCTATGGGCCAATGGCCAATGGTGCTACCAGTGTGTTGGTGAGAAGTTAGGTGGGATGTGTTACCATCTGGCCTTCCCAGGGGGTAGATAAGATGATGCTGACTAACTCCCTCCCAAGGCTACTTGATCTAGAGGAAGAGGGGCTTATCAATGACCCATTTCCTGGAGAAAGGAGAGTTCTGCCAGGGAAGGTCTCTTAGCTTCTCTGGTAAGGTATTAAAGCCAGGGTTTGGTAAGAAATTCTAGGTTATATAGGGGAATAGAGGGTCTGTTGGGATGGGCCAAGAATGATCTGCTTTTATTGGATTAGTTTGAGGGGATCCCCACCTACCCAGATGTGAGCCGTCTATGGAGCATCGTGGACAAATACAAGGTCACCAAGTTCTACACAGCACCCACGGCTATCCGCCTGCTCATGAAGTTTGGAGATGAGCCTGTCACCAAGTGAGACCCCCTCTCCTAGCTGCGGCCCCTTCCCTGTAGCGTGTTTCAGAACTGGGTGCTGGCCTTTGTCTAGTGTTTCATTCCACTGTTCCAGTCCCCTGACCTGGAATAGAGAAGGGGTACAGAAACCTGGGCATGTCTTCCTGGTTCATGGTGGTACTCAGAACTTTCCTCTCTTTCCACTCCCCTGCCCAAGGTATAGCCGGGCCTCCTTACAGGTGCTTGGGACAGTGGGTGAACCCATCAACCCTGAGGCCTGGCTGTGGTACCACCGTGTGGTAGGTGCTCAGCGCTGTCCCATTGTGGACACCTTCTGGCAGACAGAAACGGTGAGTAAGGGATTCATCAGAAGGTGGGGCCTGAGGATAATGTGGAAGACTGACTCAGGTCCTTGGTCTCTCACTTCCTCAGGGTGGCCACATGCTGACACCCTTGCCTGGTGCCACACCCATGAAGCCTGGCTCTGCTGTGAGTGAGGGTCCCTGTGTGGTTCTGGGGGAGGTTGGAGCAGTATCTTAAGCATCTGGCTAGCTTAGGGGATGGGAAACTAGGCTGATATGTGGGAGGAATTTGGGGCTTAGGACTGCTTGAGAGTGGTAGGGAGCTTAACCACTGTTGCCTCATACCTCTGCTTATGTCCTGTCTCCTGGTTGCTTCCAGACATTCCCATTCTTTGGTGTAGCTCCTGCAATCCTGAATGAGTCTGGTGAGGAACTGGAAGGTGAAGCTGAAGGTTATCTGGTGAGTCCCTGGATACTTAAGGGTCTCTGAAAGGGACTGGCAGGAGAATTCTACCAAGGGACACTTATTTTGCTTCAGGGTTTGGAACCCAATTTCTCCTGTGAGCTTCTGTGGTTAAACTCCATGACTGAGGAATCGATCCGTTCTCTGTGGGGAATCCTGGGAGGCAGTCCTGGAGACTTTCATTTGCATCTCTGTCTTTTGGGCTGCCTAGGATCAAACCCATGATTCCTGCACGCAAAGTATGTGGCCCAGTCCTTTGACCCATCTCCCTAACCCCTCCCCGTGAGACTCTCAAGGGCCCTTTCAGCCAGAGTGATGGTACAGCAGGTAGGGTATTTGCTTTGTCCAGAGTTGGCCCAAGTTCAATTCCTGGAATCTTATATGGTCCCCTGAGTGCTCCAAAACTTATTTCAGAATGCAGAGCCAGAAGTAACCCCTGAGTACTATGAGATATGGCCAAATAAAAACAAATCAAGGGCTTTTTCAGAGTCTGCTCCAAGATTATTGATGGGAATTTTTAGGTCTGAAAGACTAAGTCCCCACTCTTCCTTTGCAAAGGTATGAAAGGTGTCCTTATGTAGTGAGAAAACATCTAGACTCTGGAGTTAAAATCCTGCTAATCCAGAGTTAAAATCTCTGGGCCCAAATCCTGCTTTTGTCTCTCCTGTTACCGAATCCCTTTGAATCTAAAATTTTCTCATTGATGAAAAGGATTATAACATTGCCTTTGTTTCCTATGGTTACTGGATGAAGTTACATTATCCACATGATGAAGGGTTTCTTTAGCACATAACAGTCAGTAATTGATTACTATTAGTTGTATTAATTTATTGGTGGGAATTACACCTGGTGATTAAGTATCAGGGCTATTGCTGGTTCTGTGCTCAGGTGTCACTCCTGGCAGTGCTTGGGGACCATATGTGGTGCTAGGGATCAAACGGGGGTTGGCCTCATGCAGGGCATGCACCTTAACCCCTGTACTCTCTCCCCAGCCCTTGGGGCCCCACTTTTTTTTTTTTTTTTAAATTTATTTATTGAATCACTGTGGGAAAGGTTACAAAGCTTTCAGGTTTATGTCTCAGTCATGCAAATATCAAACACATTTCCCTTTACCAATACTTATTTTTTCCCATGAAGAACCCCAATAAAACCCCACCCCCCACCCCTCCCCGTCCCTGTGAGGCAGATGAATTCTAGTTAACACTCTATCCGCTTTGATTAGATTGTTTCAATAAAAGATTCGCCACTATTATTTAGAGTTTACCCCCCCCCCCAAATCAGACATGCTGAAAAAGCATTGTGAAGTGATTTGCTTTCTACAGCTGGGTTCAAGAATTAAATGTTGGTTTTGGATTTCTGCTATTTTACCTATTGACCCTGGAAGTATTTCTACTGAAAGTCAGATAGTTAAGAAATTGGTTTCTGTGTTCTGGAGTCGTGGCCGTGCTGGAGAGCCGCTCGGTAGGGCGTGAAGGGCGGAGCGAAACGCCCCCCTTCCCATGAGGTTTTAGTCGCCCCCACACTCCCGGCTCATACCTGCTGTCCACAAGGCTCCCATGTGGCCGCCATCTTTCTTTCCAGAGAGGAGAGGGCGAATGGGGCAACACCCTTTCCCCTCCGGCAGACTTGATGGGGGCCCCACTTTTATATAGGGGCTAATCAGAGATACTCAGGAAGCTAACGGGCCACTCCCTGCAATACTTGGTTTCATTTTGTGTCTTTTGGTGTTGGTGGTAACCAGATATACACTCAATGGTGCTGGTAGTTGGGGAGTATGTGGTGCCAGAGACTGGACATGAAACTTCACACATACCAGGCTCACCCCTTTGAGCCATAACATTGGCCCCTGGTTTCACTTTCTTTTTCTGGGTTTTCTTTTTGGTGGGGGGTGGGGTGGAGGCACACTTGGTGATGCTCAGGACTTAACTCCTGACTGCTCAGAGATCACTCCTGACAGGGATGAGGGGATCGATCATATGGGGTGCTCAGGATAAAACCTGGGTCATTTGCATGCAAGGCAAGCACCTTACCTACTATATCTCCAGCCCCCATTTCTTCTTTTCTTTTTTAAAAAATTTTTATTAGTGAAACACCATGAGGTACAGTTGTGGACTTAAAATTTTTGTGCTTGGGTTTCAATTATACAATGTTCGAGTACCCATCCCTCCACCAGTGCCCATTTTCCACCACCACTGATCCCAGTATCCCTCCCACCCCCCATCCCCCCATCCCCCCCTGCCTCTGTGGCAGGGTATTACCTTTTGTTCTCTCTCTCCTTTTGGGTGTTGTGGTTTGCAAAAGAGGCATTGAGTGGCAGTCATGTTCCGTCTATAGCCTACTTTCTGCTTGCATCTCCCATCCTGGGAGGATCCTCCCAACACCTTTTATTTGGTGCTCCCTTCTCTACAGCCCCCATTTCTTTTTATGTTTTGTATCAAAGTAGAGCTGCTTTATTGAAGGATTACCTAAAAGAAGACCAAATGTATGAACTGTTCCTTGCTACCAGAACACTGTGTTAGGCAATTTCCTTATAATTTTTTCCTCAGAATAATTATAGGAATTAGAGGTTGTTTTTTGGGTTTTTTTTTTTAAATAATAATTTATTGGTGAGGATTCTGAAGTTCACAGAGGTGAAGTTAGTTACCTGAACTTACACAATTTAGTATGTGGCAGAGTCCAGATTCCAAGCTTCTATTTCTAAAGTCTATATTTTGTCCTCTTTCTAGAAGGGATTTCCTATAATTTCCGCCTCAGAATCGGCAGAACTGTGACTCTCTTCCAGTGAGACAAGGCAGGTGTTACTGCTGTGTGTTCCTCACTCTCCAGGTGTTCAAGCAGCCCTGGCCAGGGATCATGCGCACAGTCTATGGGAACCACGAACGCTTTGAGAACACCTACTTTAAGAAGTTCCCTGGATACTATGTGACAGGAGATGGTGAGCTTTGTTCCCTCCCACACCTCCCAGTAAGACTGTACCTGATCTTTTCAGAAAAAGTTGGTTAGAGATAAAGAAAAACAGAGTAAAGAAAAACATATGTCCTACATGGCAATGTCAGATGTCCAGGCAAAACTATCAAGAAGACTCTCAGAGCAGCAATGAACCTGAACGTGGTACATTTTGAGGTGTGATGTATGAGGAAAGAGGTTCTCATTTTCATTGTCTCTGTGCTTAAAGGCATGAGGCATGTGGAAGCATATAATTTCATGTATTTCATTATGAAATATATGAAATTTCATTAATTTCCTATTATGAGTATCCCCTTATTTGAAATCTGTGTTTTGCCCATGTGTTCATCTACCCATCCATGCACCCATATTTACTGGTACCTCCTGCACCTGTGCACTGATCTCAGCACAGAGGATAATCCCACTCTAGTAAGGGGAGAGACAGGAAGCTCACAAATAAGACAGTAGTAAACTTATCCTAGTGAGAAGGGTTAGGAAGGAAAAGAAACAGTGTTATAGGTGAGTCTCTGTTGCAACAGTCACCATACAGGGCACGGTGATGGAAGGCTTCTCTGAAGTGACAGAGATCTGAAGGCTGAAGAGCCAGGTATGGAGAAATCTGGAGTTAGATGCATCTGTGCAGAGACACAGGTTTGAAATGTCTGAGTAATAAGCTTGAGCCTGTGTGGCTGGAGTGTGGGGATCAAAGAAAAGTATGTTGCATGAAGTTGGAGGGAGATGTGGCCTTGGTGAGCAGTTTGGATTTTATTCCAAGCTTAGTGGTATTTTAAGGAGATGAACTGTAACTTGCTCTTTAGAAAAAAACTGCCTGATTGGTGGAGAATAGGCTTTAGGTGGCCATTTTATCTATGACTACAGAATAAGTTATTCTCATCTTGGTAGCTTAAATTTGTGAGAATCATAATCTATGTGAATGATGATTTGGAGGTTCTCCTTCAGAGTATTTTGTGGGTTGCAGTCAACTGTGACTCAAGGCTACAGTTATCTGAAGGTTTCACTGAGTTTGGGGGACCCACTTCCAACTCACTCGGTTATTGACAGGAACCTTCATTTCCTCACTATATGGGCCAATTTATAGGACTCCCCACAATATATTGGCCTCCCCCAGAGGAAATAATCAGAGAACACAACCAAAATAGACACCACACTGGTTTCCTACTGCAAAATGGCAGCCCATTGGCTCATGCAGACTAACCCTAGCAAAACAAGAGTTGTCTAACAATAATGAAAACTCAGAGTATCATCTTGGATCCTGGAAACCCCAGTGCACCGGGCAGACTTATTAGAAGGCTTAGTGGATGTGACAGTTTGGTAACATGGATCATGAGTACTATGTGGGGGTATTATTTCACTGTACATTATTTCTCTCTCTAGGCTGCCGCCGGGACCAAGATGGCTACTACTGGATCACAGGCAGGATTGATGATATGCTGAATGTGTCTGGTAAGGGCCACATGCTATTGTCCTACTGACCGGTACCTCTGAGCCAAAGCCTTCTAAGAGCGAAGATGTCCTCTGTCCAGACCCTGTCTGCAGTGTGGCAGTCAGTTCTGAGCACGGGTTTTGTAAGAAGAGTGAGCACACTGGACTGCTGTGGGGAGGGGAACTGGGAGGGTGGGGCATCTGGAAGCCTGTGATGTGAGGAATGAAGCACCGCGCTCCCACCGTCAGCCTGCCCAGAGGAAGCAGAGGCTGTGGCGAAGGCGGGAATGGGGGGTTCTCTCACTGCATTCCTCTTCCCTTCCCAAGGGCACCTTCTGAGCACAGCAGAAGTGGAGTCAGCACTCGTGGAACATGAAGCTGTTGCAGAGGCAGCTGTGGTTGGCCACCCACATCCTGTAAAGGGCGAATGCCTCTACTGCTTTGTCACCCTGTGCGATGGCCACACCTTCAGCAGGACCCTCACCGAGGAGCTGAAGAAGCAGAGTGAGGAGCAACCCCAGAAAGGGACCAGGGGGTCTAGTTGAGGGCCATTACCATGACGAGTTATTAGGAAAGGGCCAGAATGAGCAGCTCTCCAAACCACACATTCCAAGGACCTTAGGGTTGGCCGCCCCCTTCCTATTCATCTCCACTAGAAAAATAGTAGCTCACATGTCTCTGTGCCACCACTGAACTAAGGACTTGAAAAGAATTAATCCACTTAATCCCCATAGCCACCCCCAAGAAATAGATCCTATTGTTACTTTCATTCTGAAGATGAAGAAATCAAGGCTTAGAGAAATTAAATCACTTGCCCATCATCATATTGTTAGTAAGTTAGGATTTCAGACCTAGCAGGTTGATTCTGGCAATGGGTTTCATAAAGTTAAAATAGTAAAGGAACATTGTGTTAAAACCAGAGACAGGCAGTGAGCTTAAGAATGACTCCGGAAGGGCCTTGAAGTGGAAATAACTGGGGAACAAAGGCATCTCTAACTTGGTTTAGAGGTGCCTGGCTAAAGCTACTGGGGGAAAAATGCTTTATTGTTTGTTGGTTACAGTTAGAGAAAAGATTGGACCCATTGCCACACCGGATTACATCCAGAATGCACCTGGCTTGCCTAAAACCCGCTCAGGTATGTTCAAGACCTCAAGGGGTTGGGAGTGGGCAAGGTCCAGTGGTAGTGGAGGTGGACAGATGAAAGCCATGGCAGGCTGAAGGTGATCATTACTAACAGTAGGTAACCAGAGACCTGTGGTTCCCCAGGTAAAATCATGAGGAGGGTGCTTCGGAAGATTGCTCAGAATGACCACAACTTGGGGGACACATCTACCGTGGCTGACCCATCCGTCATCAACCAGCTCTTCAGCCATCGATGCCTGACTACCTAGTAAACAAGACACAGGGCCCCCCATCTGGCTCTCCAGAACTTAGTCCACCCTCCCTGCCCCTAACCTGGAGTTCTGAGGACCATTGCTGACCCTGATACCTCCCTTGACCAGCTGAATGAATCGTAGGACCAGCTTTGTCCCTGGGTAGTGGCAACTTCCTGTGACTGCCAGGTCAATGGGACAGGGCACAGGTCAACCTCAGGTTTCTGTGCCCCAAAACTGCCTCTCCCCACAGACCACAAAGAGCCCTTGGAGTACAGAACAGAAAACTGAAAGTCACTCACTGAACTAAGAAAAGTGTTCAGAGGGCAAAAGAGGGGCTGGATTGAGGAGGGAGGCAGTTCTGTAATCCCACACCAACTTTCTCAGGAAGTCCCATGCTTAAGCTGGGTAGGCGCTTGCCCTTAGCATGCCTACCTGTGAGACCTAGGACTATTGATCATTACTTTTAAAAAACACTTTGTTGCTTCTTTTCTGGGTCTGAATTCCCTCTTGTACCAGGTGGCAATGCTGTCTGCCCATTTGCTCTAGAGGCTGTGTGGGCAGCCTCCCTCTCCAGAGGGTTTTCTGATCATCTGCTTCTTTGCAGGCAATGTGTCTTGTTGCTAAGGCCAGAGAAGCTTGTTTTCCTTGTCCTCTGTTCCCACGTGTCCCTGATTAAAGCCCTGCCCATGAGAAACATGCAGATGAAACTCTTTTCTGGCCCTGGTTGTAGGAATAAAGTCTGTGACCTAGGAAAGGAGGTCTGTCTTTTTTGGGCGGAGGGTGGGAGTTTGGCCACACCTGGAGGTGCTCAGGGGTCAATTCTAGTGGTACTCGATAATGCTAGGAACTAAACCAAGGTTGGCACATGCAAGGCAAGTGCCTTCACACTCATATAGGGAGAGTTGTCTTCTTAGGTCTCTCCCAGGTTGGAATACCCCATTATTCTCTGCCTTCCACTTCTGATTTGGGCAGAATTTTACTCATAGGCTCTTGACAAGACCCCTTTTTTTTCTTTTTGGGTCACACCTGGAAATGCTCAGGGGTCACTCCTGGCTCTGCACTCAGGAATTACCCCTGGCAGTGCTTGGGGATCATATGGGATGCTGGGAATCGAACCTGGGTCGGCTGCATGCAAGGCAAACGCCCTACCACTGTACTATCACTTCAGTCCCTTGACAAGCCCTTATACTATGCAAAAAGCAACTGAAGCCAGGTCCCAACTGGAATGTCCATTTCAATTCTGCCCCTCCCGGTTCCCACCACAGACACTCTCCTCCCTGTGATCTGTACCTAGAGACCCTTCTTGCAGCTCAGTCACCTCCTTCCACAATACACTGATAAGCAGGCTGGCTCAGATCTTAGCTCCTCCTTCCCCCAAATGCACAAACCAAGGACTCAGAGTCAGCAATCTAGTTTTATTTAAGACAGAGGCCGGGAAAAGCTATGCCCCTACTCCCCCCTCCTGTTACTCCAGCCCTCGCCCAAGGCAGACTCTAGGTCCTGACTTAAAAAGAAAAAAAAAAAGGGCCAATAAGGAACTGAGAGGAAGGTGGCAACACTAACTTTACCCCACAGGGGCTTCCCTTCAGCTGTACCCACACCCTGAGGACTTAGGGATTTCACCTAATGGAAACAACTTTCTTGGTCTTCAGGTGGGAGAACTGTGGGAAAGGGGAAAGCTCTAGCATTACCCCTCCCATGGAGATTCTGGCAGTCCCTGGAAGATTCCAGTCCTTCCAGATTGAGGGGAGGGAGGCTGACTCAGAACGGCATATATGGAGATGAAGGCTCAAGTGGAGTTCCAGCTGGCAGTCCGTGCCCTCACACAGGGTATGGGTTGTCCAGGACGGCCACTCCTGCAGCCACACCACCGTCCGCATGCTCGATGGCTTTGGTCCGAAGCAGATGCCCCACATGTTTGTTCATCACGTATGTCTGTCCATGCCTATAGAAATGGGAGCAGGCGACATCCAGCTCCAGCCCTGGGCTCATCCCCCAAATTCCAGCCCTCCCCTCATTCTAACTGAGCCACCAGGAGTCACCTGAGTCAGGTGACTGACTATGCCTGAGAAAATACTTGGATTTTAAAGTCAGATTTGGATCCTTGCTTGGAAATACTAGCTCTGTGGCTTTAAGCAAGTTACTTAGCTTTTCTAAATATCAGTTTCCTCATCTAAAAGGATAATCCCTCTCACTTTGCAAGATGGTCATGAGGATTAAATAAAGCAGGGAAAGCTGTTTGCATGATCCCAGGCTCACATTTCATGTTTTGGAGCTGTAAATTTCCATCCTAATTCTTTCAAGATGGCTAAGGTGGTTGACTGGGGACCAAGAGGTTGGGGTGGAGGGCAGCAGCAGGTAGAGGGGCTCTAAGTGGTTAGAGAGGGCAGGCTCCGGTGGGGTACTGGGTAGGATTTGGTACCCTATCTTGCCCGATCTGTAGTATTTTGCGGGAAGTGATATGAAAGTCCTGGAACTATTACTTGCAAATTGCCAAGTCTTCTTCTCAAGACTCTTTAGTGCTCAAATCCAAACCCAGGAGCCCCTCAGTTTTTCAAAGTCACTGGATAGCCTCTGATTGACCTGCCCACTTTTCCCCAGTATCCTGTGGCCTGAGAGATGAACCTTAAACTCTCTTCTCCCTGGAAGTCTCCTAGTCTTAAGGTTGTCAGACAATATTTCTTCATCTATCTTGCTACTACTTGGCAATTCATTTTGAGTTGTAAAGCATTTCTCACCTGGGTGGGTCTTGGACCCTGGATCTCATAGATTAGCTAAGGAAGCAGGTAACAGCAGTGGGATGGCTGGGAAGGAGCGCAGCCCAGGATCATCGCTCTCACTCTAGGCTTTCTTGGCTTCCTGGCCAGGAGAAGAGCAAAGTCCTGACTGGCTTACCTGACATACACCCCAAAGATGCCCAGCTCTGAGATGCACTGGACCACTCGGATGGGGCTTCCGGGCCGTAACAGGCAGCTGTCAAAAGGTTTAGGTTCGATCTTCTCCATGAGGATGTAGGAGGCCCTCTCCTCACTGTCCTTCAGCCGCTCCAGGGCCTCCACCATCTCCTCCCCATACAGGTTGTTACCTGCAATTCCACCAATCAGTCACTCAACCCTCTCCAACCGTCTTCACCCCAGCCCCCCCCCCCCCATTTCTGGGGCCCACGTGCAAGTCAGCTGCCACAGTTCCCAATACCAGTTCGGTGCAATCAGGGTGGGCCGTGCACCTGAGGTGGGCACTTCACTTTGACAGGTGAGCTCTTCTTCACACAAGTGAGCCCAGCTTCCCTACACCATCCTGCCTTGGTTCTTGGCCATTGCTCCTCAGCATCCCCCACTGCTCCTGCCACTCTTAAATGCCAGGGAACCGTGCAACTCTGTCCTTTCCTCTTCTTTTTTGAGGAAAATCTCATTGAAGTCTCCATCTATAATCTATATATTGCTAACTCCTGAAATCTTATTTTTTCTTGTTGTTTTGTTTTGTTTCGTTTTGTCCTGTTTTGTTTGCCACACGTGGTAACTTAGGGGCTACTCCCAGTTCTGTGCTTGGGGGTCATTCCTGGCAGTGTTGGCAAACCAGCAGTGACAGGGAACAAACCCGGCCTCCTACATGCAAAGTCTGCACTCCCATCTGCTGAGCTATCATCTCTCTGGCACCTAAATCCCAACATCTTTAATTCCAATTCCCTGTTATAGATATCCCCTGGGACTCCAAACACATCCAACATATGCAGGGAATTTATCATTTCTGCCTGAAATGGACTTTCCTACTCCTTACAAGGTACAAATCTTATCAGCTCCTCCCTCAGCCACTAACTCAGACCTGCCTCTCCAGTCTGTCCTTCACAAAGGCCTCTTCACTGCTCTCCGGGACAACTGAACCTCATCTCTGCTCTCGCAGCCATCAGGGTCTCCCCTTATTCCAGGACGTGCTCCACCATAAAGAACCACAGATGCTGACTTAGCTGCGACTTCCCTACTTCAGCTTCACTAATGGCTTCCTACCACCCTCAGGATAGGCTCCAGTCTCCCACCTTTAATCACTGCCTTCGTAAACAGTCCTTCCAACATCTTTTTCCAGACCAAACTCTTCCCAGCATCCCACGCAGCATCCCTGCCTTGGCAGACACCCCTTCATCTCAATGGACCTTGCTTTCTTGGCCTTTGGGATTGATCCTACTATATGAAATACTTTTCCTTTTCCCTTGGGAAAACTCTGAACTCTTCCTTATGACCCAGATTTTTTTTTTTTTTTTAAGAATCATCTCTTATGGGTTTAAGAGGCAGACACTATCTTTGCCCTCAAGGAATTCAACCTCCTGAAGGCCTTCACCCCACTTCTCAATCTAGTCTCAGACACCACAGGGCAAACCCTCCAGCAAGGGGTCATACACTTCCGATGCCACACCAGCTCTGGCCCAGCATCTTCTGGGACACTGTCCAAGGCACACGCTTGCATAGGTTCTTCATGCCTGAATAAGTGGTGGGCAGCGTGAGTGGCAGTCCACTGGCCCCGTCTCACTGACTAGCCCTGCAAAGGGGTTGACCCACCTACCTCCGCCCTCTCTCTGGGGTTTGAGCACGAACCGCTGAGGGGCAGCGAGGGCCTTGGCAACGGCCTGGTCCCCTTCTTCTCCCTAGAAGGAGCAAGAAAGCAGTCATCAGCCACCTGGAGCCAGAGGCGAGAGCTGAGGTTCTGCTGGTGCAGAGCAGTATCGGGGGGAGAGCAGAGGGGCCCTCACCATGGCCCTTCCTTCAGGCTGACTGCCACTCCCCATGTGGCCCCTCTGACATCAGGGCAGGGAACACTGCAGTAGGGTCTGGGAAGTGGGTTCAGATACTTCCCAGGACCTGTCTGCGTCAGGCCCTTCCTGGTCACCATCTCCACCTCCGTTTCTGCTGAGGGAGATTACAAGGATTCCAGCCGTCTTCCCCAGGGCTCTTGGGGGTCCCACAGAGCATCACTGAGCCAACTGTGAGCCAGGGCCCACTTTGGCCCATGCATGGAGTAATGGGCTAGCACGTACCATGTCCAAGGAGTAGAGCCCAGCAAAGGTGGCACGAAGGCGGGCCACAGCCTCTGGCTGGCCGGGGAGTAGCCTCTCCAGCACGCCCCTTCGGCTTAGCTCCTGCTGCACCTTCTTTGTGCCCGCCAGCTGGGTGGCAATGTCCGGGCACTTGACAGCACGTGACCTCTCGAGCAGCAGGCGAGCCTCCCAGTTCTGCGGAGAGAAGAAAACAGAAGGAGGCCCACTTGATTCCCTGAGCGCTGCACACTCCTGGGACCTGGTGTCCTCATAGGCAGTATCCGCAGAGGCAGGTGTGGACCCCAGTGTTCATCCCTCTTTTCCCCCTTGGGAGGGTCCCAGTCTAGTGCAATGACATCAGACTCTCATTAAAAAGAAAATGACAAAAAGTGAAAGGGTGTAGCAAACTGAGGAGGCTGGAAGGGGCGGCCACTGTGACTCCCACAACACTGAATAAAACCCAAACTCCTTACCACAGGCCCTAAGACTGCAGGATCTCGCCCCTGGGGCCTGGTTCCATGCCACCCTGGCCCCACCTTCTAGCCACACAGACATCTGGGAACACACCTTTGCAGCCTTCCCTCTGCCTGACATGCTCTTCCTTGCGGCTTAGGCAGTGGATGGTTGGATCCTTAAGTCTTGCCTCCAAGTCACTTGCTCCAAGAAATCTCCCATGACCACCTTATTCAATGTGGGGGTCCCCATACTTTCTAATCTTTTCACCCTGTTTCCAATAGGGGAAA